AAACCCCTATCGAAAGAAGCACAGGTGCCCTGGTGGCCATTCTGTCAGAGCTTTCTTGCGCGAGAGTGTCCATGCAGTGTGGACGCTCTCTTGCGCAAAAAAGCTTCTTGTGCAAGAAGCCTGCAGTGTAGACATAGCCTGAAAGAATTAGTAGATGATCAAAAATAATGTTGGAGTAGAAAGTGTGCTGGTCATTGCCCTTAAGGAAAGGACCAGTGAGGATGAAGTGGCCCATGGGGCTTTAAACGAAGTTGATGTGGCCATTTTTGCAAAAGGCTCTCAATTCTTTTGGAAAGCCACAGGTTCGGGGTGTGGAGTGCAAGTGTGGGCTTTTCCTCCCTGCACGTGACAACCTGCACCTGCAGACTGCAGTGCATGGAGGTACTGTGTGGGAGGGGACATGGGTAGTGGATTTTTATAATTACACTAAATGGGAGACTTGCTTTCTAATGGGCACTTGTGCTATTGGTCTGGTGCTACAGCAGTGACCTCTGAGCAGAACCAGCCTGAGAGTCCTCATAAATTGATCTTCACAAGTGTGGGTATGACAGAGCTGTGCTCAGCTCCTTGGTAAGGAGAATGATTTCCTACCTTATTATCTTCCTCTGGGAACCCTTGCAAAACTGTAATGCCTTGGATTGCAGCTGATTTTGACCTGCTGGAATCTCCCTACCATATGACATCAGTGAGTGATTTGGATTCCTTTAGAAGCTGCTGATCAAAGATTGCAAAGTTAATTAGGCTTCTCCTCTCTGCTTGCATTCAGATTCTGCTATACCGCTGCCCATCCAGGTTAAGCAAAGGTTAATTTCCTGTTGAAGTTATGATTTGTTGGATCACTCTAATTCCCAGAAATAAGCTCTTCAGGGCATCCTCAGGGAAGGGTCCATGCTTCTGAAAACTGCTCCCAGGGGTGGTCTAGGGAGCTTCTAGGAATATACCTTTTTGGCCAGTTTTCCTGCAGGTTTATAGGTCATTGTAATGGCTGTGGTTAAGTGTTTGTCTGCGTTCAGGGAGTTCTGCAAAGCTTTAAACTGAAGGGTTGATATTTTATTACATGAATAATTGTTTTAATAATGTAAGGTGCCCAGGTGCTTAAAGTTGCTGGCATCAATATAAATGTATAAATAAATAATAAAGGCAGTTAAAGGTCGTTAATCATGGACGGAGTTAATAGCTGCCCAGATCCAAAAGCCTGTGTCATTTCCCAGATGCAAGGAAAGCACATTCCACGCTGGATTGATTACTTCCTTGTAGCCTTTGAATTACAAGTGTTCAGAGACAGTTTATGACACACGTGCCTTTCCTAGCCTCTGGAGATCCTAATTCACTTCCAGTTCACAAACACAGCCAGCAATAGTGTTACTCTCTTTTTACAGTGACTCACTGTGCCAGATATGCACTCAGGCCTGAAGATACAAACCTTAGTGCACAAAAATGCAATATACTTTGAAATCCATGTTGAGTCGTTTAAGCTTCTGTGAAACAAGCCCTTTTCTTCTTTTTACCTATGAATCGCCTGTTGTATTAATTTTAATAAAAAATTGCAACATATTTCTAGAGTACTTGGGCCTCTACAATTCCCAGCCTGAGAGTCCTTATAAATTGATCTTAACACATGTGAGTATGACATGTGACATATATACTGGCTGTATCTAACTTTCCCGAATCTCAGCTATAACTATTTGCTGAATACTTCTTGGTTTTTTTTCTGTATGCCAAATGCTTACTGCCCCTTTGCAGTTCAGTTACTACCAACGAGAAATCTGTTCACTTCCTGCATACTGCCCCTGAAATGTTCAAAAGGTGCAATGTCTGGCTAAGGATGACTGTTCCTCATGACTCATGCATTATGACAAAATCAGCACAGTGAATCAGCTTCTAAAAGGGCTCCTGCATTTAACCAGCAGCTCCTATTTGACTTGGAATTGAAAATGGGGCAGATGCAACTCCAATAGATCAATACTAAGCCTACATCATACAGAAGGGAGACAGTAAGTTTGTTGAAACAGAAGGTCATTTGACATCTCAAATGTCTCCATCCTGATGGAGTCATTTAGGTGGTAAAAGCTGGAAAAGATCAATTCATCTATGAACTCAGCAGTCCTCAGACACAGTGGCACAGATCTAAACACTACGGCTGTGTCTACATTGGTGCGATCTTGCGCCAAAGCGGCTGCTCTTGCGCAAAAACTTGCTGCCTGTCTACATTGGCTGTGTGTTCTTGTGCAAGTAAGCTGACATTCTACTGTATGAAATCAGGGCTTCTTGCGCAAGAACTATGATGCTCCCACTCAGGAATAAACCCTTTTGCGCAACTGTTCTTGCGCAAGAGGCCAGTGTAGACAGGCAACATGAATTTGTTGCGCAAGAAAGCCCTATAGTTAAAATGGCCATCAGAGCTGTCTTGCGCAAGAGAGCGTCTACTTTAATGCAAGAACTCTTGCGCTAAAGAGTTTTTTCGCAAGATCATGCCAGTGTAGACGTAGCCTACCTGTTTAAATCCAGAGACATCAGTTATGTGCAATTACTCTGAATGGACAGTGGTGCAAATAAAACCTGAATCTGTCCTGATAGTCTGGGTACCCTCTAAGATCAAAGCTAATATCTGTTTGTAAGACAGACTGTTCTAACAGAAACAGATTTTTTTTTCCTGGGGATTTCCAGGCCTCTTCCTATTCTGAAAGTGTAAGTGCAAAAAGTTGGTAGGGTTCCATAGTTCCCTTTTATAACCCAGGTGTCTCCGATAGCCTTAGGCATCAGCTCCAGAAAGCAAATGCTGACCTAATGCTCTGCCTGAACTGGTTCCAGGTGGTCTTAAATGTGAGATAGCGTCCAATCAGTGGGGATACTATCTTTTGAAATAGCAAGTCACTATTTTGTTGTGCTTTTTGCATGTAGACACTCTATTTCGAAATAAGCTTTTCTGGAAGATCTGTTCTGGAAAAGCTTATTCCAAAAGAAGCTGGCAGTTTAGATGTAGCCTAAGCGTCTATGCTAAAATGTTTGCTCCCATTGATGTAACTTGCCTACCACCCTGACTTACAGGGGGGCTGACAGAATTTCCAGGCCCCTGGACAAGGTGAGGCAGGTCAAGCTCCATGCTCCTGGATGAGGTGGGTCCTCAGGCAGAAGGGATGGGGCTGGGCATCCAGCCCTCAGCATCACCCCGACCATACCACACTCCTCAGCCAGCACTTAGTGCCACCCAGAACATGCCTCCCCAGGCTCTGGTGGCAGTTTAAAGAGTCTGAGGCTCCAGCCACTGCCACTGCTGCAGTAGCAGTCCCCTTTGAATTGTCAGGCCCCGTGGTAGTTGTCCCCTTTGCATCATCAGGTTTGCTGAATTAATAACTCCATGAGAGGTGTAGAATTAATATCAATGTAGCGAAGTCAACACAGTCTCCATGTAGACACTGTATTGCTTACATCAACTGTTCTTGACTTTGAGAAGTGGTCCCACAGTGCCCCGCAATAACATTTCAATCCAGGCAAACACATCTGACGTGGACACACGCCATCAACACAAGTTACAAAGTGTAGACGTACAACAACCATGTGATCACTGAGCTGGCTATATGCCAGCATAAATTTGGTTAACTTAATTTTATAGAAAAAAACAGCAAGCAAATGGTCTGGTAGCACTTTATAGACGAACAAAACATGTAGATGGTATCATGAGCTTTCGTGGGCACAGCCCACTTCTCCAGATGACCAGAGTTATGACGAGGGGATAAGAAAACTCAAAATAAATAGGAAAAGGGAAGGGCGGGGGGAGAGAAAGTTTAGACATATTCTTATACTTTTGCAAAAACATCCAGCTATTTTGCTTAGCCAGCAGTTCCAAACTGCCCCCTTCTCGAGGGCAGAGACCCATTGTCACTTAGCTGACAAAACCTTCTGTTTACTGTCTAGAAACCTGTATCATCCCATTTTGCACTGTCATGTAGCCTTGTGCAACATATCAAAAATGTGGCTACACCAAGCACATTGAAATCAACATCAAACTAATGAACATTGGCCTATTGTGTGGATAGTATTAATGGTTTTTCTATTTAATTCTTTAAAACTTCAGTTTTTCCTGACACTGAATTTGTAAACTGCTACAAAATTTAGGTCCAGTGTGATGCCTGACATGCAGGTATCCATCTACTTTATGTACATGGCAAGTGTGCATGCATAGTGAACATATGATTGTATGCATATATTGAAAATCAAGTCCAAAATTTCCCTATTTTCCTCTCTGAATGTATAAACTGATGCACTACGGTTGAGTTATGATACAAAATCTCTGTGGTATACAGCTGTCCAGAATGAAGAGAAGTATCAACTGTATCATACTGTCTTATGTAAGCAGTGTTTAAGAATTGTCCAGTGTATACAGCTCAGATTTGTTTTCCGCAAAAAAGCCCCGATTGTGAAAATGGCAATCGGGGCTTTTTTGCGGAAAAGCACGTCTAGATTGGCATGGACGCTTTGCCACAAAAAGTGCTTTTGCGGAAAAGTGTCCGTGCCAATCAAGACGCTCTGTTCCGAAAATGCTTTTAACAGAAAACTTTTCTATTAAAAGCATTTCCGGAAAATCATGCCAATCTAGACGCAGCCTAAATGGTTTTCCAAAGTAGCTTTACCAGCAAAACCCTCCTGTTGCACTCACAACTTATGTCAGCAAAAATTGCTTTTGTTGGGGTAGCTTATTAGGTAAATGCAATGAGCTATGTGGACAAAAGCCCTTTATGTTGCTGTAACTGTTTCTACACTACAGCTTTTGCCAGCATAGAAATGTCACAAAATACCCCATCTGTAATGGACATTGCTTTGCCAGCAAAAGTTTCGAGTGTAAATTTGGCCTTAAACAGGAATACATATTAGAATTCGAGGACTCTGAAAGAAATAGATTAAATCCTCTGGTTTAATTTTTCTCTAGGCTTTGTATCTGATCGCTACTAATGGAACCCCAGAGCTTCAAAATCCTGAGAGACTGTCTGCT